GATGGTGACTGGAACAGCTTCTTCTTCCTGAAATCACTAGTGAGTGACAGAAGTACTAAGAAAATCAGGATTTGTGTTTTTCATTCATTCATGTGGAAGAGTTTTTCTATTTGCACCTTTTAGGCCATGGAAAAGAGACTTTAAAATTGATTTTACCTTGATTAGTTGGATTACACTCATGTGGTGAAGGGAAGTCTTGTGGTCTAATATGCAAATTATTTGATTCAAAATCCAGAAATTAGATGCATTGAATGTACCTGTATGATACCCGTCTGGCAGTTTCTAAATTTTTGACACTTCTTTTAGGATATCCTTTCATTTACTGAATATTGACTAAGCCTTATTGCATCGCAAGCATTGCTTGAGACCTTGTGGATGAGGAAACTAACCATCTCTACCTTTATAATTTTCTGGCAAAGGTTAAAGAACCAGTAATCCAAATTTGAGGAACAGTTAAAAGGGAACAGGGAGGATAATTAATACGTAGTGTTACGAGGATGTACGAGTAGAGGATTGACACTATGGGTGGGGCCAATGGTCACACATGTCCTGGGGAACTGGTTTTTCAGTTGAAGTCAGATAAATGAAGAGAGGAAAGCAAGTGAGAGCTCACAGAAGAAATCTCTTGAGGGGAGACAACAAGATTCAAGGCAGGACTTGCATACCAGTATCTGGAGCAAAAGTCACACATAACATTGCTCAATGTTCATGGTCAAAGAAAAATCCAGAATGGCATAAGACAGATTCTGGTAGGCTTTGAATTTAAGGTGAAGCATTAAAGCTTCACCTTAGGAGACCAGAAACTGTTGCTGGCTAAATTTTGCATTGACTTGAGAATACTGGGGTGTCCAGATTAATCACTGTTATGAATATGCCTGAGTGGGTGTTTTGGGTGGACTCAGTAAAGTAGATGACTTGTCCCAGTGTGGGTGGGCTTCATCCTATCAGGTGAGGACCTGAGGAAACAAAAAGCCAAGGAAGGAGGAATGTATTCTTTTTTCCTGCTTCCCTGCTTGAGTTGGGACATCTCCTCTCATCATCGCCTGCCTCTGGAGTGAAATTGAGACCATTAGTTCCTCTGATTTTGGGCCCTTGGCACCTGGACTGAATTATATCGCCAGCCTGCCTGGGTCTCTAGCTTGCAAAGAGTAGTTTATAGGTTTTCTCAGCTTCCATAACCTCATGAGTAAATTAAAAAAAAAAAAAAAAAGAAATATATATATATATATATATTGTATGTTTCCTGTTGGTTTTGTTTTTCTAGAGAACACTAATACAAGGGTTGACATGAACAGGCTTGAATTGTGAATTGATCACTCCAGCTGCCACATGAGGAATGGCCTTCACCATGTGAATAGACTATAAATAGAATGTTTTCATTCTTGTGGTCAAACCCTCTCTTCCTTCTCATTTGCTTTAAGATGGGAACAAGGACTCTTGACATAAAACCCTTCAGTTACCAGATCAACAAATATAAGTGACTGCAACAAACTTTTATGGATTTGGATAACTTTTGAACCCCCGCCCCCCGCAAGTGATTATTTAAGTAGTTCGGATATTTCCAAATTTAAATGTGTGTGCCTGTGTGTGTGTGTGTGTGTGTGTGTGTGTGTGTGTGTGGCGTTTTTTGTGTTGTGTTGTTTGTTTTTTTTCCCCCAGTACTGGGGATTGAACAAAGGGTCTTTACACTGAGCTATATTCCTATTCTGTTTTTTAAATTTTGAGACAAGGTCTCACTAAGTTATCAAGGCTGAGCTTGAATCCTCCTGCCTGAACCTCCCAGAGTCCAGAGGTTACAGGACTTGGCCACCAAACCCAGCAGAGATTTAACTTTGCAAATTTTTTTGAAGACCTGAAGAACTACATTCTATAAGGTCACCAACCCATTTCAAGTCTGTAAGATAAATTCCACTTAATTATTTTAATTATGTTTGCCCATTCTACCTTATACTCCCATAAGATTTCAGTCCTATGACATGAAATTATTCAATGACTTTTTACTTTCATCTTTTAATAAGTCTGGGCCACTCAGTACAGTAATTATGAGAGATATTATTTGCCCTTAGCAAGTTTTTGTCCAGTAGAATGGAAACATACCTCTAAATTCAACAGATCTGTCCTGTATTAAGAGGAAATCAAATTTACTGGACCTGATTACAAAGAAAAACCAGAAGTCCACAGGTTTCTGGAGAACTGGTTTTCAGGGTGCGCAGCCATTTTGCTCTGGCTGCTGGCACCCCAAAGCAGGTGCAGACCTGCTCTGTCGAAGCATCCAGTAGCCTGCTGACCTAGAATGAACCTGCGTCCAGTGATTCTCTCTTCCCTGCACTCACATTTCCTCGTGTTTTTCTCCTGAACTACTGAACACATTTTGGTAAGTCACCTCCATATCCTTAACAAGATGGAGACCAAAATGAATGATGTTGTGCTGTTTTACATTCTAACAAACTTTGTCTTCTTACCAGGTCCTTTTAGATACATGAAACTATGCGTTAAATAATATTTAAAAAATTAGTTCCCAATTTAAAACAGTTATGGGGTGAAAATTCTCCAATAGTCTCCCGAAATTATCAGAAATAACTTTTATTCCTGCAGAATATTCTACTCTTATGTAACCAGTGTGACAGCACAGGCTCAGATTTGGCCTTAACCTTTGAAATAATTGATCTAAATGTACTGTACATGTGATTGATTTCACCATGAAAAGGCAAGACTTGGCAAAGGAAACGTGGTGAGCGCACTGGAGAACATTTCCCTGCCAGGGCTTCCTATTACATGAGTGTAAACGCGATCTTGAAGGGAGGGGGAAGGTCCCATGGAGATGTGCAAAGCCCCCAGTATCACAGTCTCCTTCACAATCACTCCTCAGGGCCAGCCAGGGTTGTGAACTAAAAAGGAAATGCCTTTGTCCTGTGATCATTATATCCAGGGAAAGACAGGCTATCCATTCATTTTTTGAATCCTTTTTTCTGTAATCAACAGGTTTTTTAAAGTGATAATATTCAATCACTTTTTTCTTTTCTTCCATTTTTTAAAAAAATACATTAAACATTTTGGTGGCTTAAAAAGAGTTTAGTCAATTCCAGGATGTGGACAGTTAGGATGTCAGCAATGCCCCTAACCTAATGTCATTAAATGTTCAACAATGACTTTAAAATAAGAAGCTTTTTGGAAGTTATGTCTTTGAAGTTTCATTAATTAGTCATATCATTGGGAATGTATGGCTAAAGTAAATTACAGTGTTTAAAATATCTACTCTTTCAATGTGAAAAATGAAAGGATCCTGCTACCTTGTCTTTATACTAATGAAGATATTATTAATTGGTTTAGCAAAAACATAGATCTAACCATAATGTGCAACAGTTATTAAAGATAATTAACTACAGATCATTGGTTTGAAACATCTAGTCCAAAATGATTTCTGAAGGGCACATTATTCTACGAGATAAAATAATTAAATTTCTAACTGCTGCACGAGACAACTGTGGCATATCTAGCGTTTTAATTTCTTTTGTTCTATTCTCAGGGTACTCTTACTGTTTTAGGTTGTGAAAAAGCTACCCGTGTTTCACAGTGAGCACTCTGTTCAGCATGTTTCACCGAAATCTTTCATGTCTATGGAAAAATTATGATTGAAAGAAAAGGATTACAATGATACTAGACCTAATAAAAAGCCCACATAAATTTAGCTGCTTTTTACTGCACAGAGGAGCATGGTAAATCAAACAAATAAAAAGCTAAACAAGTTACTTTAATGAAATACCTTTCAGGCACATCCCTTGCAGCATCTATTTTTAAAAAGAGGAAAGCTTCACATTTGCAAAATAAATAAGACAAAATATAAGTACGGACATACGCCAAGTGTGCGTGGAGTAATGAATAATGTAATCATGGGCATGTGCATAACATTAAACAATGACAGTAAAAACAGTTGAGGCATTAGAACAGAAGACTGTTTATTAAAAGCTATAAGATTAGAGAGAAAAAACATTCTTGCTATATTGCTAAAACAGTTTTGCTTGGTATTTACTATTTGATGCTCAATTAAATTAAAAGGAAAATATTATGACTCAAGTGCCAATAACAGCTTTTGGAATTCTAAACAAAACTCTGACCATAATATTTCATACTAATAGCACATTGAGATATTCATGGACAACTATGTTTAGAATGAGGCAAGAAGTCTATATTAATGTCGCTGTCAAATGTCCAAATTTTAAAAATATTTATCATATTATCTTATGACCAGGAACTTTGCTTTGTATAAAAACCGACAATGAAAAATAATATTAACATGCCTTCTTTTAAGAAGCAATTCAGATTTATATTAAGTCTAAACTTGGAAGAAGGTGGGAGAAGGCTATGTGCCTTGAATCTTAGCTCAATACTTCCACATAAATTATTATTTTTAAAAAAACTGTTAAAATCTTGCTTTAATTCAGTGAAGGTACATTTGGTAAGACAGGATTTAAAAAAAACCTATAAAAATAATGATATTTCTTGCTAGCATTGAAGTTTAGAACATAATTGAATGAAGAACTTGCTAAGTTTATACTGATGTGAACTCCAGGTATTTAGGATGAAAATAGCCAAAATGTTTTATATATTTTTTTTTCTGTTAAGCATATAGTAATGTGTAGAAATCCCTGAAAAATGTAAACCATGAAGGGAAAAGAGTTTTACAGGGTAAATGGGAGTAAAGTCATTGCAACTACTTATTTCAGATCAATGTTTTTGAACAAACATACTGTGGACTGCTAGCCTCCTACGAGGAAAAGAAGAGGTTATTTGGTTAAAGGTTTGGGGATACAATATACTGTATTCTCCCTTTATAGATATGTAGCACACATAAGCACAATCTTAAAGGCTCTGGAAAGTCCTGCAAGCACAGTGTTCACCTACCTGTCAAACTTTTGTTAACCTGAAATGCTCATTCACAGGGCATTAACACAGAGATTCTGCTCTAAGGACCCTTATGAAGCTAAGCCTGGTTGGATTTCAAAACTCCCAAAGTCACTTTCTGTGTTCCTGGCATGATATCACATTCCTCCCCTTCAGCCACCTGACTTGCATTCCACTGAAATCACTCTAAGGATTTGCTAGATCGTTCCAGGTTAGTATTTTACTTGCTTTATTACCTTGCTGAGGGATATTTGCCATAAAATGTTTTGTTCTAATTGTAGAAGACAAAAAAACCTGAAAATCTGGGAGAGGGGTATGAGGAATGTCAGTCGCCCTGGTTGGGTGACACAGGCAGTGCTTCTGTCGGGGACAAGGTAGCATGACCGGCTGCCCCAGGACAAGCAGTCACTGATAGTAAGGTAGATGACTTTATGTCATCAGGCCAGGGAACCGCGGTTAGGGCCACCTGATTTAGAAAGGGCATTTCCTAGGCGGTTCTCCGGGCCAGTCTCTGTCACTCCATACTGTCCCTAGGCACGAATCTGGACTAATTTGTCACTTACTGCCTTACACTGATGACTCATTTTTTGGCTCCAAGCATTCTTACATTTCATTTCTTGGTCTTAACAACCTTATATATTCCATCTTTCTACCATGCGTCACCCCCACCCCCCAAATTCATTTGTGCGCCAAGACAAGGATTTTAAACTGGCTACCAGAATACTGTCCTTAAACAAATTTTTTCCTTTAGCCCCACTTTTTTTTTTTTCTTTGAGGTTTGGGGAGGCCGTTAACACGAGAACACTGCCCACAGGTAAATCCTAGGGACCTGACTGCCTGCAGTGTTCCAAGAGAAGTCCAAGGCTCATCCGTGCACTAAGCCATCCAGGTGGAAGTCCTGGGTTCTTCCAAGTCCAGCCGCGCCCCCCTCTGGCTGCTCTCACCCCTGTGCTGTGGCAAAACCAGGCCTCTCATAGCTCAGGAAGCTGAGAAGCCAGCTGGCCCAGAAGGCACTTTTGAGCAAATGTCCTAACGATTGTGGTCAGATGAATCTTTCCCTTCATGTTTTCATAGAAAAAAAAAAAAATCCTAAATCATTGGAAAGAGGGCCAAAGGTCTGTGATACTCAATAAATGTAGGCGTTTCTCCTGACACTAGATTTCAATCTCTCCAGCCTCTGGAAGATTGCAACCAGAACAGAACTTTCTATAAGCCAGAGGCAGGCTTGAATGAGGGAGGCATCAGAAAGCAGAGTTGTGGACACCTGCACAGCTGGAAGCCTCAGCTCACTGCTCACAAGAGCAGCCTGGGGGCTGCGGGGCAGGTCCAGTGGAGCCTGGCTTCGGGGCCTCCTTCTGGGCGGCTGGCTGTCTGTAAGCTGCCCCTCCTCGGCTCTGCTCGCTGAGGGCCGCCAGGGGAGGTTAAGGATGTGCGGGAATCAGATGGAGAGGTGGAGCCATCTGCTCTAACTTCCAAGTTATTCTTGGCTCGGGAGCTGCAGCTTTGGTCTGGGTCTTTTAACAGTTCGTTTAGCTGAGGAGGACGGAGTGGATTCACAATAGGAGGCCCTGGTATTGGTGAGGTTTCATTTATTTGCAGCAGTTTTTCTGTTCCCTTTTTGTGACTGCCATCTTCTAATTGCTTCTCTGTGCTTCCCCGCCCCCATCTACTCTTCCTCTTCCTCCTACCCCTACTCCCCTGCCTCTCCCCTTCCTTCTTTGATTTCTTCCCAAGGAACTGCTTCTCTTAGGTGGTTACTGAGTCACTTCTTCCCAGCACTACTTCCAAGATGTTTACCACCAAGGATCACTTACGCACATGTTTAAAATGCTCAGCACACAGTGTCTTCTGGGATATTCGTGTTGCATTTGAAGTGCACCCAAAATGTCAGTACCACAAATGTGTGTGGTTAACCTGTTAGCTTAGGTTTTCTACAGGTTATTTATTTTTTTAGTGGATATTGAGCATCAGCTTTCTCTCATCCAGTGTATCCTGGGAGAAGGAAAGGGTAGGTGGAATCTTTCATTTTTTAGCCATCATAATTTGTCCTGCCCTGAAAGTTTCTTTTCACCATCTTTCTCCCTCGTTTTCCTTCTTTATCTCCCTCTGTCTCTGTCCTTTCCCCTTCTCACTCCTTAAAAAGCTGCTTCAACTCCAGGACTCCGTGACTATGAGATCACATGACTCAAACCTGCTCTGGAGTCTGCCTCATTTTTCAATGTGTAACTAGATTCCCACGCAGAGATTTCTATCATTTTGGCCTGACTCCTTGACATAACTATATGTTCATCTCTGCCCCCCTCAACTTTTTAAAATTGACAATTGCCCTTTAGAATTTAAGTAAATAGCATGGGAAAGGAAGAAAGAAAGGGTTCACAATTTGAAAATGCATATTTAGATAGAAAATAAAACTTACTTGGCAGATTTTTATAAGTTTGTTTTTCATAATTGTAGAAAATGTACTAAAAGTCGATGATAAGGAAATCCAAGCCAGATGTGGGGGCTCGCCTGCGTGCCCAGCACTTGGGAGGCTGAGACGGGAGAATTGCTGTGAGTTCCAGTCTGGGCTACATAGTGAGTCAAGGCCAGCCTGAACCACAAAGTGAGGCCCTGTCTTAAACAACCAACCAACCAACCTAAAGGAAATCCGATCGCAAATTCCTAAAAGGAAGCTGATATTGCCAAAATGGAGTAAAAAAGAAGTGTCCTGATCAGTTTACCAATTGAAAAAGGAAATGCATTATGATATAGGCTACCATTCTTTGCTGTAAGTTTCTCGGTTCAGCTCAAATGAAGTCTCAGGCTCCTCCTACATCCCAGTACCTAGGTGGGCAAAGCCAGCAGAATGACCTAGATTGGTGAGAAGAAGTCTCTTTGGCATCTCTGGGCTCTCTGATGTGAGTTTAATGCTCAGTATCCAACCAGCCAATCCTCTGTCCAACCTGCAGACAGAAACTAGGTCTAAATTGTCTACTGCATGGGTTCAGGAACAATTTCCATCTGGGCCTCTCTTTTCTTCATATGGAAAGCACCTACTGCCACGTGACTGTTGAGAGCAGGAATTCCAAGGCTTTGGCTATATGACGTCGTGATGTCTCTGGAGGAAAATTAGAATCAAGAGACTTGAATTTGAGTCCCATATCTGTTGGTTACCAACTGAGGGTCACCTGGATTTTCCTATAAAACATTAACAACAAATAATACATACTTCATGAGGATGATTGTGGGATTAAAGAAACTGATGACAACCTCAGCCGAAGAATGCAAAGCCGCCAGAAACTGGGGAGGTATAAATGAGTAAAGCAGTACAAGAAATACTTAGGCTAATTTGGAGCCAGTGACGCAGCCTTTGACAAATTTGTGATTTTCTGTCCTGCTAAAGAGGCAGCTGTTCTATTCAGCTTCAGCCAGTTTTTGCATTGGAAAAAATGCAGACCTGGTGTTGCCAGATTTTTGGGGAAGCTGGAAATCCGGACTTTTATGTGAAACCTCCCAATTTTTAGTTTTTGGCAATTAATTCAGATTTAAAGGATTGCGTAGCCAAAGAAAACACATCTGCAGGCCACATACACTCCAGGAAGCCTCTCGCTGTGACTTCTGATATATGTGAACATGTTTGTAATAGAACCCACCTCATTATAAGTATGCCATAAATATTTGCCTCATCTTTCCTTGTGATAACCAACATGAGAAAAGAAAAATAATTGATTTGAGGTTTTTGGAAAGTTATCACATTACTTACTCTTAAGGATCTGATTTGTTATGTAAGTCGTGTACTAACTTGTTTAGCCTTATCCACTGTTATGTTAAAATACTTAACTTGGATATAGATTGTACTTTGGAAAATTTAATTGGGTCCTCCGATTTTGTAGCAGAAGTTTAAGGTTTGTTAGAAGACATATACTTAAAATATAGACAGTTCTGCATCACAGCAAGGAAACTACATTTTTTTCAATTTTCAAAAAAATTAAGCAAAAGCTATATTTGTGGCATATTACATGGTGTTTTGATACATGTATACATTGTAAAATGGCTAAATAAAACTATTTCACATATGCTTTACCTCACACACTTTTGTGGTGAGAACTCTAAAATTCTATTCCTCATGAATTTTCAAGTATATAATATATTCCACAACCTGGAGTCACCAAGGTGTGCAATCCATCTCTAGAACTCATTCATCCTGTCTCACTGAAATGTGGTGTCTTTTGCCCAACATCTTTCTGGTTTCTTCACCCCTCAGCCTCTGGTAACCACAGGAAAATTCACATTTCTGATGCTGGCTTGGATTTCAGTACGTGAGCAACACTGGCCTGGGTTTTTCTCTTTGTCTTTGGAGGAGCAGGACCTGGTTTTAACTGCTGCATCTTCATGTGGCTCCCTCCTTGAGTAGTTTAACTTACTTTTTAACTGTTACATGCCAACAAAACAGGTTGCTTAATTGGTTTGACCTTTCACAGTATTTTTTAATTTTTCAATCTTAGTTTCATAGTTCCATCTGGCCCTTTAAAACGACATCTGGTTAACTGTACTTAACCAGCTGATCACTGTACAGTTATTTTTAAATGTAATGTATGCTTAAACAGATGTTATTTTTATAGATGTGGATCTAAACTGCACTTGTGTACGTGCTATGTCTGCATAAACTCTTTCTGCAATTCAAATGTTGACACCCAAAATTACAAGCCAGAATGCTTATGAACTCCACTATTATGGTAGTACACTTTTGTGCTGCTTCTTAGGTAAACATCAATTCAGTTCTTTTTTTCTCTCTTCATTGCACATAAATAAAACATTAGCATTTAGTTTATAAAGTGATGAACATTTTGCTGTGTTGGATTTAGCTTTATAAATACAACTGCTGTCAGCAAGAAAAAAGGATTTATTGAATAAATAATAAGAAAGCTAAGGGGAAATGAAAATATATATATTATGCAAAACATGGTGTCTGTCAACAGGTCACAAAGGGGCATCCCTGCTCCTGGTATTGCTGCTGGAGATAATTCCATCTGGCCCTGGTGGCTTCTGGATCTCCTTCTCACTGTATGTGTTTTAGATTTAATCCAGGAAGCCCACTGGTGTAAATCAATTTATCTGTGAAACTCTAAATGCTTAATTGTCCAGGCATCGTTAACATTTAGGACTATTTAGATCTCTTCTTATCCAAGCAAAGGGAAGCCCTGAAAACACAGATGAAAAGAAAACCTAGATGGCTATGAAATCCTATGGCTTTATTTTGAGGTCTTTTTCATGCAGAAAAGAAATAAAAAGATGATAAGCAGTTCCTAGATAGAGTGAAAGGTTTTACAGTCACAGCAGCATCTCAACACCAAGGACCTCTTGTTTCAGAGAGAACTGAGTCTCACCAGCTGTGAGTTCTCCTTGGCACCTAGCTGCGTAGTTTGCATATGACCCGAGGCTGAGTCTGACTTGAGACAAAGAAAGTGGTCACAGTTGAAAATATTTTGCCTAGAACTTTAAAAGTCTCATTCTCAAGGTTAAAAATTGCTGTTATACATAATACCTCAGTAATTGATAGACATTTTCTCTCTCCAGAGTCCATTTTCTGTGAAAAACACCACATAACATCTGTTCATAAACAGTCCTTCTGTGAAAACCCTGACACAGGTCTTGAGCTTCTCCCGGCTCAGTTCCCCCGCCATGCGCAGATGGCACGATGTATTTATACAGCTGAAGCCAGAGAAACAGAAGTCCAGGCAGAATCTCCAGGTAAGGCTGCAGGTTGCTCTCTGTCCTCACCCTGAGTCATTCAAGGAGCTCTTTCTGACACAAAGACAAATTGTTTCCTAGGAATGTGTGGGTTCCATTAGAAAAAAGCACCTTTGGCAATCAACATGTAACTCTACAGAGATAAGGACAGTGCTGGTCTTTTAAAAAGATTCTACTGAACACATTAATGAAAAACTAATTAGGTTACCAAGGTATTTGGGAAACTAAATATGACTGTGATGATTCAGTTACCTTTTTTTTTTTTCTTTTACTCTATCCTCTGTGTGATGTTTAACTGGAATTAAGTTTTGTACCTAAATGCAAAAAGTTTGGGGTGGGGGCTTGAAGAATTAATATCCAGTGTTTCAACAATGACCAAGTGAAGCAAAAGACATTTATAATGCAAGGAGTTATTCGCCACATGACTTTTTGTTTCTGTTGTTACGCATGAAGTGAAATGACAAACATCTGCAGAGACACAGTTTTTGAAATGAGTATTTATAAAAACCTAAGAGACTTGCGAACTCTGGTGAGATTTCATAGCTTTTTGAATATGGTTCTCCTATTAATTCCCAAGATGTCAGTCCTTTAGCACTCTCTAAAACTCTTCCTTCTGAGAGAGGAGACAGATTCCAAGGACAAGCATAGCCAGTTTCTCATGGCCTGGGCTAATGATGACCTTGAGTCAAAGCAGGATGCCAGAGATTCCAAAGGGTCTAGGGGCCCCTCAAATCATCCAAATAAATAAACCAAGGAGACTCTCCACAAGCAAATCCCACATGTATTGTACCGGTCTACATCACACAGCTGAATTCCATATTAAAAGGCATATTCCAAGAAACACATCTAAGTGCCCTAATGTAATATAAACTAGGTTTCCTTCTCTGTGAGCATCATGGGCAAGTTCTTGTTATATACTTGACCTGCTGGAGTCAAACATGGCATGGAAAATTTTTTTGACCTAACTTTAATCTACATACAGAATCTTTCTGGTTTTTGTGCATTTTAGAGATAATTTATAGCTTTTATGAACCATCAGGTTAACTTGGTTTATCAGTCCAGGCTAAGGAATCACTTTTTTGGTAATGATTCCTAAGGTAAGCCACTAGCCAATAGAGAGCATGATGTTTAAGTGTTGTTCTAAATGGTGTTGTGAGAATGCCTGGAAAAAGTTCTTCCAGGATAGCAGAACTATTAATTCTGGGAGAAACATAGATATGTTTGCTCTTTTCTAGTCCTCTCTCACTTAATCAATAAACTTCATTTGAAACATAGAAAGATAATCAAAATGAAAATAAAGTTCAATTTTCAAATCACATACCAAGACTGCTTTTCACTAAATATTGAATCACACCGTTGTTTGGATAAAGTGATACAATTAGAAGTAATGGAAGAGAACAAATTCAAATCGTGTTTTCCATTTGCAAAAATATTTACCATGTTATGCTAGACGAGGTTTCTTGTTTTGCTTACTCATTTCCTTTTATTGCTACTTCAGATTTACTTTTTCCTGGAAAACTGAAGGTTGAGGGACGTGTACTCACTTTTACTGATGTATGAACCCACCAAATAGGAGGACACCCTTGTTGGACCTATTTTTAACGTATGATTTGACAGAAGCACAATATGCTAGATATCCTATGGTATTATTTACAATAGTGGAAATTGAAATAATATAAATATTCAGTAGTGGAAAACTGATGAATTATTATTGGCCTGAGGAAATTATGTTGCTAATTAGGTAAAAATACGGTATATATAACATACAATTGAAACTAGGTTTATTGCATACAGAAGCATAAAAAAAGGCATGGAAAAATATTTTGGTATATACCAAGGTATAACTCTATACCAATATACAAACTGTAACTATAGTCATAATTTATAAATTATGATTTTTATTTTTAGCATTCCAAATGTTTTGTATTAAACATACATTGTTTTAGTAATCAGAAAATTATAATAAAAACATAAAAGTTATTTTCTCCTAAGGAACACAGTTGTTAGTTTAATAATAATTTTGGTGTCTTTGGGAAAGAATATAAGTGAATTGAAGTATACTGAGTTATTATTTTTGACAGAATTTTATGAAAACTGGAAAAGATGGTTTAGGGAATGCTCTCTGTCAGGTAGCTTTGGAGATTATCATAATTTACTGCCCAAGTTGATCTCTCTGACTATTAATTTCTGCTTGTCTCTCTCTTTCTTTTCCTACTTTTTCTTTCTTTCTTCTCTTTTCTTCCTTAATAATATGGAAGTACCAAGTATTCAGAGTAGGAACTCAACAAGGGATCGTGGTGGTACTAGATAGGGAGACATTTGAAGAACAAGCAAAGAACACATAAATAGTAACATTCCAATAGTGAGTGGTGCATCTAACAAATACACAATGCAAAGAGGGACTAAGCACGTGGCGATTTGCTAAGCTAGGAGAAAAGTCCTTGATTTTGCAGTGACGTGTGTGTGTGTGTGTGTGTGTGTGTGTGTGTGTGTGTTCAGAACTGAAAGTAATAGTGTCCACATTGCTAGGCTCCATGCTAGCCTCTCTCTGCTGCACCCCAGTGGTCAACACACACTCAGACTGACCAAATTGGCTTGATTTGGTCAGTCTCTGAATGTTGACTGAATTAAATTAACAGATCCCTGGTTTGTTTGTTTGTTTCTTTCTTTCTCTTTCTCCTCCTCCTCCTCTTTGTCTTTGTCTTTCTCTCTTTTATCTTTTTTTTTGTACCAGGATCAGATTTACAACCTTATGCTTGTTACCAGGTGTTATACCAGTGAACTATATCCCTAGTTCCTAATCCCTGATTTGGTTCACCCATCCATGCCTCTGAAAACTGCCTGCCTTTCATGAGATGTGTCTCCTGCTCCCAAATCCTAAAGAGTTCACTCAGGAAGAGACAGGGCAGTTCAAAATGTATTCTCAATCTAAATGAAATGGACGCTTATCTCTTTACTATTCCTTCATGTAAAGTCACTGATAAATATGAATATCAGGTCATATAGTCTAATTACTGAAATCTGTCCTCATGTCCTAATCAAATTTCTCATCATTTCAAAGCAAAGTTAAATTATCAGTTAGGACTGTCAGCGTATGTGGCTAGCTGCTCATAACTTCTCATATTTTCTCTTAATAAAACTATTTTGGCTTAGTCTCAAAATCATCAAAAAGACTAGACATAAGCTGGTCCAAACCACTCATTCTTTTTGAATTTGTAGCAACTACTTTCCATGAAGGAGATGCCCACCCA